CGTCCTAACGTCAACTGTCGTTGGCTAGAAATACAATGCTCAATTCACATTCTTTCATGCATTCTATCGAACACTTTTGATGCATAGAAAAACCTATAATCTAAAACAGGGTGATCAATCCAATTCTAGCATTAAGAACATGTGAATCAAAGAACCTAACAGATTAGAATCCCAATTAACAATTATTCCATCAATCCATTAAATCCCCTACTTGGAACCCTAAAACCCAATTGGTGGATTACTCAGACATATTAAAATAAACAACACAAAGAGATATGAAAGAAGACATGAATCAATTGAATAAATAAAAGAGAGGGTTTAGAAATCTTCTCCAAAGTGTCAAAGAGGATGAATCTCTAATCCCAAAATGAGTTGCTTACAGAAGGTCCAAAGCACTCAGAAAAACTCAGAAAATAGAACGTCCTCTGCTAATTAGGTTTTTGGGTATTTATACCCTTAGGGAAAATGTAAAAATAAAATAATAAAAAAATCAAAATTTAACCCGACTAACAATTGGACCGATCGGTCTGATGGATGGACCGATCGGTCCCTTCCTTCTGACCAGTTTTTGCTCCCGTCGAGCTCCTGGATCGATCGATCCATTGGGTGGATCGATCGATCCCTGCGTACTGTCTTGTTTTTGCAATCGTTGATCAATGGACCGATCGGTCCACACCTTGGATCGATCGGTCCCCTCTTGCTTCTCCTTCTTTCGCGCGTTCTTGACCCGAACCAAGCTCGAAACTCTCCGATTCCGCAATGACCACCTGTAACCTGTACAAGACTCAAGACGCGACCAAAAAGACACAAAAACCGGGACTTGACACTACGAACTAACCAAAATGACTCTAAAAACCGGGACAAAAGACACTAAAAACGCAACATATCATGGAGCTTCCCATGCATCGTGGAAGAAGAATCGTGGACCTTGTAAACGTCCTCCGAGAACTGCTCCAGCTTCTTACAACTCTCCATAAGACCCATAAGACAGTTTATGTGAAAAAGAATTCGTAATTTCGAGTTTATGTAAAACAAATAAAGTGTTTGGTTATATGATTTGGTTTCTCGTTCGAATATGTGAATTAGTGTGTACTGTCAATTTATCAAATAATTGCAACTCCATATAACCCACATTTCTAGTTGATTTTGACAAAATATGTAGCAAATTTCACATTTTGTTTTTAATTATACCAAGAACATATCCCATGGTCTAGAACTTCCTTTGGATATCTAAACATTAAATATTAAGATCTGTGGAGAAAGATTCTTATTAAAATAATATATAAACCAATGAAAAAATGTGAAGAGAGATTCTTAACGCCATGTGCATTCAAGGTCTTCATCGGAACCAATCTCACCTTCACTCTTTAATATTCTCAAATTAGAAGACGTATCTTATTCAATTGTGTTTGTGTTTGTTTTGTTGCTGAGGTTTTATTCAGAAGAAGTTTGAACTTTGAAGCTCTCAAATGTGTTTGTGTTTGTGTTTGTTTTGTTTTGTTGCTGAAGATGAAGATAAACTAAGAAAAGAGTTTTGAACTGAATATCAATATTCCCCACGCTTTCTCACATTACATAGAGATCCTTTTTATACTCCTTAGGGAACTAATCCTCAGAGCTAAGATCTAATTACAAGTGTCAAACATTGAGCTACTTCTCTAAAGATGAGAGGGAACCAAACGTGTTGCTCATCTTCGGGAAGCTAACTGTTGTTGGGTAGTGGTCTCCTTATCTCCCATACTCCTTGGTCTTTAATTTAATTCTGGTCTACGTACTTCTCCCATACTCCTTGGTCTTTAATTGAATTCTGGTCCCACGATGTTGTTCTTACTTTCATCCCCCCGCAAACTGATGATGGGAGAAGGCCCAACATTCAGTTTGGAGCGCAAGGACTGGAAGGACCGGCGAGGGAGAGATTTTGTAAAGATGTCGGCAAGTTGGAAGGCAGCAGGAACGTGTTGTATTTCAAGGACACCAAGAGCCGCTCGCTCTCGAACAAAGTGACAGTCCACTTCTACATATTTGGACTTGTTATGCAAAACTGGATTGGCCGATAAATGGACGGCAGACAAATTATCACAGCGAAGGAGAGCAGGCTGTGGTTGAGGGATACCGACGTCACGAAGAACTGCAGAAATCCAGGTTAGTTCAGAGGCTGTGGCGGCAAGTGCTCTGTATTCAGCCTCTGTAGAGGATCGAGAGACTGTCGTTTGTCTTTTGGCTGACCAGGAGATAATGTTGGATCCAAGGAGAGCACAAAAGCCTGTTGTTGATCTTCGTGTGTCCTGACAACCGGCCCAATCACTATCACTGTAGGAGACCAAATTCAGAGCACTGTGCTTGGTGAAGTGAAGACCCATATTAGTGGTGCCGCGGAGGTATCGCAGAGTCCGTTTTAGCAAACCAAAGTCTGATTCGGTGGGAGAGTGCATTTGTTGACAGATGAAATTGACTGCGAACTGAATATCGGGTCGAGTAATCGTCAGATATTGTAATTTCCCGGCAAGGCTTCGAAAGTAACTTGGTTCAGAGAACAACTGTTTGTCTCGGAAAACATGATCAAGTCTCAATGGCAAAGGAGTGTGTACCGGATTGCAATTGGTCATGTTGGTGATATGTTGTGTTTTAACACGTTTTTGTATATTGTTTTCATTCCGTTTTTATTTTGTTAAGTCTTGTTTTTGTTCGTCTTTGTGTCTTTTTGGTTGTGTTTTGAGTTTGTACAAGTTTTAAAATGCTTTGGAATAAAAGGAGTTGTTTTGGCCAAAAATACATATTTGGAGATGCAGGATCGTGAAGAGGCGTCAGAAGTTTGTCAACAGATGAAGGACTTTCCACCGTTGGATCTTCCTATGATTTGGACACAATCTAGCTACAGATGTTAGCGTTCATTTGTAAGTGATTTGAAGACAATCCAACGGTGCATTCAAGAGATACACTCGATTGAGTGAAGACAGGTCATTCTGGCGAGCCGTTGAAGCTGATACAGATATGAGGTATATGGATCGATCGATGCACATATAGATCGATCGATCCACGTCTATTAGCAAATTTCCAAATGATTCCGGCTGAGCCAAAGATCGACCAAACCAAAACCAGATCAATCGATCCACCCTTGTGACGGCCAGAAACATTGTTTTTCTTTGATATTTTTGTGCAAAAAGTGTGTATTAATATCCTAAACTACTCTAAGTGTTGGAGGGATCCCATTATCACGTTTTTAGCTTGTTTTTCATCTCTCTCTCTCTAGTTCTTCCTCTCAAGAACACTCAAGAACACCAAGAACACAATCTTGTTTATTGGAGAAGTTTTTCTTATCTTTACCTCTTTCTCTTTATCTTTTCATTATGAATGCTTCTATGGTTTTAGATTTTGATTTAGTTATGTGTGAGTAGACATATATTGGGTTTTAGGGTTCTAAAGGGGAATTTAGGATTGATGGTTAGTTTGAATGTTTATAGCTTTCATATGTCTAGGTTTTTCATTTCATATGTTTCTAATGCTTGGTTTGGCTTAGCTATCCATGTCTTGATCCTAGAGAACTTCATGCACCAAAAGTGAAGTTGAAGTTCTTTGATCCTTGTGTTTATGAGCAATATGCTCCTAGCCAACGACAGTTGATGTTAGGAAGTATTGTGAACTCAATGAACTTGATTGTTAATGCTAATTCGGTTAGGATTCAAACGACAGTTTAGTTTTCGAATAACCGAGTTTAGGGGTTAGTGCCACGACAGTGGGCTAATCCACCTTGCGTTCATGTTCTAGAACGGTTCCTTAAGTTGTTAAACATAATTCATTTTAGTTTTTCGTTAGTTCAAAATTCCCCGAAAAACCTTATTGCACAATGCTTTTAAATTGCTTATCTCGTTATCGTTTTATTTTGCTTTCATGTTTGTGAGTTACAAAACGAAACCAAACCCCAAAGCTTTAGCTAAGAATGAATCCCGTAAGTATTTAGTATAACCATTGGTCCTTGTGGTTCGACCTCGTATATACTACCTAATGGTTAGTTGTATCGAGTAATTAGTACCGTAAAAGGATGGCATGGTGAAGAATGTCTTCAACATACTGTGTCTGACCAAGAAACAAACCATTAGGGTGAGATTGTGCTTGCAAGCCAAGGAAGTAGTGAAGGGTTCCCAAATCTTTCATGGCGAAGCGTGTACTGAGTTCAGCAATTAGAGACTTGAAGAGTTCTGGACTGGAACCAGTAAGCAAAATATCGTCGACATATAGCAGCAGCACCAAAGTGTCGCCATTGTGATGATAAACAAAGAGAGAAGGATCAGCTTTACTGCAAACAAAACCATACTCAATCAAAAAATGGCTAAATTTGTCAAACCAAGCTCTTGGAGCCTGTTTAAGACCGTATAGAGCCTTTTTGAGAGAGCAGACATGATGGGGAATGGTATGATCTTCAAATCCTGGTGGTTGAACCATATAAACAGGTTCATGGAGATCACCATGAAGAAATGCGTTCTTCACGTCAAGTTGAGTAATATTCCAATCTAGTGATGTTGCTACAGCTAGAACAATCCGAATGGTTAAAGTTCGGACCACAGGGCTGTATGTTTTGATAAAATCCACTCCTTCTTCTTGTTTAAAACCTTTAGCAACAAGCCTTGCTTTGAGTTTGTTGAGAGAACAATCAGCGTTTAGCTTAACTGTGAATACTCAACGACACCCTAAAGTATTCATCTCAGCTGTTGCAGGAGTGAGTGACCATGTATGATTTTGATAGATAGAATCTAGTTCTTCGATCATAGCTTGATACCAACCCGGATGAGCCAAGGCGTTTGCAACAGTCTGAGGTAAAGGAGGAATAGTCTTGCTTGCAACAAGAGCATACCGTGGATTTGGTTTCCGGATGCCAGTCTTTGATCTTGTAGTCATTGGATGTCGATTAACCGTGTGGTCTTCTTGTTCTTCTGGTTCTGAAACAGTGATGCTGGTGATGTCTGATTCAGTTTCAACAGGTTGCCTAGTTGATGATAAACAGGTAGAACCAGGGGAATTTGTTACGATCAAGAGATCTTGAGGATAATGAACAACCTGGGATGGAAGAGTTGGCAACCGTTGAAGAACTGGAGCCTGAGTTTCAGCGGATTGCCAGGCTTGAAGCAGAACAGTCTTGTGTTGATGAGCTAAATGCTTGTATCTGTCATTAAAAGGAAAACACAGTTCATCAAAGATCACATGACGACACACATATACACGACCAGTTGGAGGGTAAAGGCATCTATAGCCTTTATACTGAGCATGGTATCCCAAGAACACACATTGAAGAGAGCGAGGATCAAATTTGTGTTGAGTAAATGGTCGTAGACAGGGATAACATGCTGATCCAAACACCCTCAAAAATGTATAGTCTGGTGATTTGGTAAACAACACCTCAAATGGACTTTTCTGTTGCAAAGAAGCGGATGGTAACAGATTGGAGATGAAGTTTGCCGAGTAAAACGCTTCTACCCAGTATTTTAATGGCATTTTACTGTGGAAGAGCATGGCGAGACCGAGTTCAGTTAGATGTCGATGTTTACGCTCTGCAATCCCGTTCTGTTGTGGAGTCGCTGGACAGGACAGGAGATGATGAATACCATTATCTGTCAGATGTTTTCGGAAAGTTGTACTCATAAACTCTCCCCCACCATCACTGTGAAATATTTAATCTTTCTGTTAAACTGGTTCTCAACTTGCTTTTGGAATGCAATAAACACACCATAAAAATCAGACTTAAGCTTTAGAGGAATATTCATGAATATCGAGAAAACTGATCCACAAAAACCACATAATATTTAAAGCTTTGAACAGAAACAACTGGAGAAGGACCCCAAAGATCACAATTGATTTGTTCAAGGGGTTCCGTTACAATAGATTCAGAATATGAAAAAGAAAGTTGAGAACTCTTTCCCATTTGGCAAGGTTCACAAACGAGAGAAGTGCTGGTCTTATTGATAGAGATTGCCTTGCTGGATTTAAGAAGTTGCAGAACTTGAAAGTTGGTGTGACCGAGCCGTTGATGCCATATGATATCACTAGCAGCACACTGTCGGTTGGAGTAGAAAGCCATAAATTCTGAGTTCTGCAACACATAGAGACCCTCACGACGTGGTCCCTTTGTCACCACCTTCTGAGTATTGAGATCAATTATATAGACAGCATTAGCATCAAAGAAGACTCCACAAGGATAATCCTCACAAAGCTTAGAGACTGACAATAAGGATTTCTGCATTGATGGACAAACAAGAACATCGCATAGAGGAATACTACATGCAGCTGTGGTGAGCACAGTGGATCCAACATGAGTGATTGGATCGTATTCCCGACCCAGACCATTGAGAAAAGTAAAGATTTTCATGGATTCTTCGACTGGCTTTCCAATGGAACTCAGTTGATCACAGATAGCGCGAAACTTTTGACAGTAAACCAGAAAATCTTTACCTCGGTTAGTCAACAACTGAAGCCTACGACGGAGATCAAATTCTCTAGCAATGAAGCTTTGGTTGAAGTTATCGGCAAGAGACAACCACACTTCTTGAGATGTGGCTAAACCATGAACATAACCAAGCACTTCTTCTGTAAGAGTGCCAAAAATCCACGACTTTATGAGTTGATCAGTACAAGTCCATGCTTCAAAGTCTGGATTCGGAGTTGTGACGACTGCACCATTGACCGTGACTGTAACAGTAGCCTCCGGTGGACCGATTTGACCAGTGACAAACCCAAGAAGTTTTTGGCTCCGGAGAAGAGACTCAAACTGGGTTTTCCAAAGAAGATAGTTGCTATCATTGAGCTTTAGAGTAACAGAACTAGAAACATAAAGACTTGAAGGAAAGGGGTAAGGATCGAGAGCCTCAGCCATGACAGCACCTGTGAAGGTTTTAGATTAGCTCTGATACCATGAAGATAAACTAAGAAAAGAGTTTTGAACTGAATATCAATATTCCCCACGCTTTCTCACATTACATAGAGATCCTTTTTATACTCCTTAGGGAACTAATCCTCAGAGCTAAGATCTAATTACAAGTGTCAAACATTGAGCTACTTCTCTAAAGATGAGAGGGAACCAAACATGTTGCTCATCTTCGGGAAGCTAACTGTTGTTGGGTAGTGGTCTCCTTTATCTCCCATACTCCTTGGTCTTTAATTTAATTCAGGTCTACGTACTTCTCCCATACTCCTTGGTCTTTAATTGAATTCTGGTCCCACGATGTTGTTCTTACTTTCATCCCCCCGCAAACTGATGATGGGAGAAGGCCCAACATTCAGTTTGGAGCGCAAGGACTGGAAGGACCGGCGAGGGAGAGATTTTGTAAAGATGTCGGCAAGTTGGAAGGCAGCAGGAACGTGTTGTATTTCAAGGACACCAAGAGCCACTCGCTCTCGAACAAAGTGACAGTCCCCTTCTACATATTTGGACTTTTATGCAAAACTGGATTGGCCGATAAATGGACGGCAGACAAATTATCACAGCGAAGGAGAGCAGGCTGTGGTTGAGGGATACCGACGTCACGAAGAACTGCAGAAATCCAGGTTAGTTCAGAGGCTGTGGCGGCAAGTGCTCTGTATTCAGCCTCTGTAGAGGATCGAGAGACTGTCGTTTGTCTTTTGGCTGACCAGGAGATAATGTTGGATCCAAGGAGAGCACAAAAGCCTGTTGTTGATCTTCGTGTGTCCTGACAACCGGCCCAATCACTATCACTGTAGGAGACCAAATTCAGAGCACTGTGCTTGGTGAAGTGAAGACCCATATTAGTGGTGTCGCGGAGGTATCGCAGAGTCAGTTTTAGCAAACCAAAGTCTGATTCGGTGGGAGAGTGCATTCGTTGACAGATGAAATTGACTGCGAACTGAATATCGGGTCGAGTAATCATCAGATATTGTAATTTCCCGGCAAGGCTTCGAGTAAATATGATTATTCATTTGCTAAACTGTCGTTTGCATCTTCCTAATCAAATTCGCATTATCAAGCAAGTTCATTAAGTTCACAATGCGTCCTAACGTCAACTGTAGTTGGCTAGAAATACAATGCTCAATTCACATTCTTTCAGGCATTCTATCGAACACTTTTGATGCATAGAAAAACCTATAATCTAAAACAGGGTGATCAATCCAATTCTAGCATTAAGAACATGTGAATCAAAGAACCTAACAGATTAGAATCCCAATTAACAATTATTCCATCAATCCATTAAATCCCCTACTTGGAACCCTAAAACCCAATTGGTGGATTACTCAGACATATTAAAATAAACAACACAAAGAGATATGAAAGAAGACATGAATCAATTGAATAAATAAAAGAGAGGGTTTAGAAATCTTCTCCAAAGTGTCAAAGAGGATGAATCTCTAATCCCAAAATGAGTTGCTTACAGAAGGTCCAAAGCACTCAGAAAAACTCAGAAAATAGAACGTCCTCTGCTAATTAGGTTTTTGGGTATTTATACCCTTAGGGAAAATGTAAAAATAAAATAATAAAAAAATCAAAATTTAACCCGACTAACAATTGGACCGATCGGTCTGATGGATGGACCGATCGGTCCCTTCCTTCTGACCAGTTTTTGCTCCTGTCGAGCTCCTGGATCAATCGATCCATTGGGCGGATCGATCGATCCCTGCGTACTGTCTTGTTTTTGCAATCGTTGATCAATGGACCGATCGGTCCACACCTTGGATCGATCGGTCCCCTCTTGCTTCTCCTTCTTTCGCGCGTTCTTGACCCGAACCAAGCTCGAAACTCTCCGATTCCGCAATGACCACCTGTAACCTGTACAAGACTCAAGACGCGACCAAAAAGACACAAAAACCGGGACTTGACACTACGAACTAACCAAAATGACTCTAAAAACCGGGACAAAAGACACTAAAAACGCAACATATCATGGAGCTTCCCATGCATCGTGGAAGAAGAATCGTGGACCTTGTAAACGTCCTCCGAGAACTGCTCCAGCTTCTTACAACTCTCCATAAGACCCATAAGACAGTTTATGTGAAGAAGAATTCGTAATTTCGAGTTTATGTAAAACAAATAAAGTGTTTGGTTATATGATTTGGTTTCTCGTTCGAATATGTGAATTAGTGTGTACTGTCAATTTATCAAATAATTGCAACTCCATATAACCCACATTTCTAGTTGATTTTGACAAAATATGTGTACTTTTTTTTTTTACGCATGACAAAATGACATAAAACTTAATTTATTTACAATAGTTGAACAGAAAAAAACATTAACAAGAAAAAAAGACAGAAACATCAGTTTTCTTCATCGCGAAAGATAAAAATAATATTTGCTTTCATTTCTACAATTTTTTTTTTTTTATCATCTTAACTTAATTGATATAATACATTACACAAAGCCCAAATGCACATGATCATAAAAAAGATAGCTTCATTGAGTATCTTTATCGGTGGAGATACACATTGGGTTTCTTAAATAATAAAGTATTAATATTTAAAATAAAAGAGGACAATCGTTCCTATCTATTTCTCTCTCTTCTTTCTCCTGCAACACAAAATCTAGATCTAGTGTTTTCCTTTTTTTCTTTTTACCTTTTGATCTTCATCGCCGGCGAAGGGTCAACACAGTGAATCGTGAGTGAGATTTTCCTCCTTTCCGACAGTGTTGTGGTGTGGATGAGCCGTCTCTCGATGTAACTCAGCGACGGCTTACTAGCGGTTTAGAGATGGGTTCCAGTCGATTTAAGATCTGGTCGAAGACGCCGGACGAATAGACAAGAATCGCGGATCTATCTCGTGGCTCGACTTGTCTTTTTCATCATTGCGGTTGGAAGTTGAGAAACGGCTCAGTGGGGTTCACTGCTTGTCGTGGCGATTAACGGCGGATCTTCTGGATCGGGGATGGCTAAGCACGGAGTTCGGCTGGTGAGGGTTTGTCTGAGCCAATGACCTTATCAGCGGTCATGTTTAGTATTCGCCTGACCGGTTTGAGGATGGCTAGATCTCGGGCGAGGTTAGAGGGAGCATCACCGGAGGGAGGGTTAGTGTTTGCGTTCTCTCTTCTTGCTAGGTAGGGGAGTTGAGGGGAGGGGTCTCGGTTGTGGCGGATCTCCCCTTTCCGAGAGGATTGTTCTAGGTTCGACTTGTCTCTCGGCGCCGGTTTGAGGCAGAACCGCTAACTCCGGCAAGAGCTTGGTGTAGAGAGCATGGTTGCAAAGGAATCGTCCTTGTTAGCGTTAGATTTAATGGATGAGATTCGTTTTTCCGGTGTACTACCCGTTTTGAGATCTCCTTTCCGGTGGGCTTCGATTTGGGCCTTTCCTGTTTTGTGATCGTGTATCTGTATTGGCGCGTAAGCCAAAGCCCACTTTTGGGATTTAATATAATTAATTTAAAAGAAAAAAAGTATTTAAAATAAACATTTATTATATATTTAAATTTTAATTTTAGATAAAAAGTTAATTAATGAGAAAATGACATGTGTAGATACAATTTCTTATCAGGTTGTTAAAGTTTTTGTTTAAGAACTTTTGTGTGTCTCTCTCCTCCCTTTTTTTTTTTTTTTAATATCTAAGATATTCTTTAAAATCTTGCTGCTGGAGATAGTCTTATCTTACAATGAAGCCCGAACGAAATACCCAATAAGAAAACCATGACGCCTTAAAATAATAAGGATGAGCAGAGGATACATGTTTCTTCCTCAACCTCCGCTGCAGCAGACTCTAAACCTTGGGCATCGGAAAATGACGCCGGAGTAAAAACCGAACAATGAATCTTCTTTTCTTTTCTCATCGATTATGGCAAGTTGGCAACAAACGGGTTACAAAACAAAATTCAATCTACTAATTTCATCCAATTGCTAAATAAACAAGGGATTTAGCGAAATCGAGTAAAGAAATAATAATAATCGAGTAATCTCCACATGCCTTATCCAATTGAATCTCTGAATTTTGCAAAGCAGCAAAAAGCAATCAAAATTTGCATAGGAAAAGAGATTTTAATCAGAGACATAAACTGTCTTGAAACTGGTGGATCCAACGCATCTATTTGGGAGGAGAAAACCACACCACACATCGCTGAAAAACACACCGGAGCCAAAAACCTCAACAGCGACGCACATCAAGGTATAAAGAGAATAGATCTGGTGAAGAGAAAACTCTCCCAATCTAACAATCATGCAACCCTGAAATCTTCAATATCGAGCCTTTAGAAAAACAAAAGAACAAGGCAATGGGAAGCCACGTTGACGGCAAGAACACTACAACAAAAAAGTCGTGTTGACGACTAAACTGACGGCGACACCGGAACTCGTCCGGGCACAAAAGCCGACCAAACATGTTGGATATCGATAAGAGATAAGAGCATCTCTCGCTCTGAAAAAAATATTAGAGAGAGAAGAAAGAGATAGCTCTCATTTCTTCCATTCTAATGAGAGCTCTATTGGTGCAAATTCATCCATCAACTTCATTTATTTTTTTGCACCAATCGAGTTTCTCAACCATATCTTGTTCTATATATATCATCGCCAAACCATTCAATCGCTCATGAAACATAGTTGAACGTCGATAATTTTTCTGAGCTTCAATTTTGAAAAACGATCCATGTTTTTGGATGACTACCATCTATTCTTTTCAAAAGTTCTAACACTTCGACCAGCTTTGTAATTTCTTTTGCCAACACATGTCTTAGAAGTTTCTGCTCCATAAACATAAATTTTCCATCTACATCTAAATGCACATCATGCTTCAGAGAAGCTTCAAGCTGCATACACATTGTCATCAACTCATCATATTTTGCTAGTTTTAATTTTCTTACACCAAACAAAAAATCCACAAATTTTCTCATAACACTGGAATTGTTTGAATCTTACCTCAAGGGACATTATAATATGATCCATTATGTTAATGAAAGAATCAATTCTAAAACTCTCCTCCGCAACTAACATCTTACTTTCATCAACATTCTCAACATCTTCACCATATTTCATTTTTCTTTTCATCAAGCGTATGCCTGGGCAAATAAACCGGAACCGAATATTCGAACCGAAATACCCAGAAAAAATACTCGAACCGAATCGAATCCGACTTTTAAAAATACTCGTATAAGTCCAATATTTCTCTATTTGAAAAACTGGAATCAAATCGAAAACCGAACTTTTGCATGAAATATTATTCTTTGCAACAATATAATATAGAGTATAGCGGACGATGTAAGCTTATGAAAAATGAAATGAATCAGTTGAAGTTATGCCAATAAGTTTAGTCAATTATCAATGTAATCAGTCAATTAGTTAGTCATAACTGTTATTTTCGAGTAATATGTAATGGCAAAGAAGTCATATGTTGTTTTTAGAACAAAGGTCGTATATTTAAGTTTACTAAGAAATTCAAACTTCTAATCATCTTAGAGCATATGTATCGGCATAACTCTCAATACAGATGTTAATATTATTTTAATAATAAATATTGCTTTAGTAACTGAATGAATTTATTAAGAGAGAGAAGAAAAAGAAGAAAAAAAAAAAGAAGGAAGAGAGAAAAAAAAAAGGAGGAAGAGAGGAAATTATGGAACCAATACTTTTCAGACACGTGGCTCATAACTTGTATTAGAACAGATCTTGCAGAAGATCGCAATTCAGGTTCGTCTTCTACTGTTTGAATTTTTTCAAATTTTTAATGCCTAAGAACACTACTTGTGTTGCTGCGATACTTATGGTCTTATATAATAAAGTAAGGTTCCACTTGAACAACTCACCAAAAGCCGACACGTGGCACCCTCCATGATTTTTTATCATTTCAAATAAAAACTTCAAATTATATTTTTCTCATTATTTCAACTAAAAACATCAAATTAGAATAGTTCATCTTTTAGAATAAAAGAAAATTATAAAATATTTACAGCAAAATCACGTCATAAAAAACAAAACATTAGAATACATGTATTTAAATTATAATGCATCACTTAAATTATACTCCCTCTGTCCCAATATATAAGATGTTTTAGGCTTTTTCATTTGTTCCATTATATAAGATTTTCTCTACTTTCAATGCATGATTTATATTAATTTAATAGTTTTTAATTATTTTAATTATGCAGTATCTTCTTCTATTGGTTGAATTTTCATAAATGAGAGAACATTTACTGTTTCTTAATCTCTGTGCTTTTAGTCCTAACATCTAATAAAATGGGACAGAGGGAGTAATAGTTTGTCTTACTTTGTGCTTTTTATAGTATTCATTTACATATTTGAATTATAATAGATCATGGATATTAATATTTTCTAAATAAATAGATATATAATATACTATAAATTTTAAAATTTAAATTATACACCACAATTCTTAATTAGACCAAGTTGTTACATGTTTTCAACATTTATTTTAAAAATGTAACTCTCCTCATATTAACTACACAATTGAATAGAAAATTAAACACCACAATAAACACAATTGCAATTGTATAGACCATGACAATTAATTAGACCAAATTGTAACTCCCCTCACAATTGTAACTTCTTCCACTATTTCTTTTTTAATATATATATATAACTATTATCCCTCTTCCATCATATCATGTGTAAAAACTTCTAAATATAGTAGGGTAATATAGTGGAAAGAGTTTGTTTAAAGAGGTAATTTATACTTTTAGGATTCTATTTTATATTTCTTATGTTTATATTATGTTTGTTCTACAAATACTATAAAACCATCCATGTAATTTTAAATCTATAAGTCTCATAGCTTTTGTGAGGATCATTCAATTTTTTCAATGTTCCTAAGATATTTTAGTTGAATCTTAGTCACGTGTTCTTTTTTTAAATTTTATTTTCGTTTTGGTCCAAATGTAACTAAATTTTTTAGCATCTCCTAAAAATGAAATTATAATTTTCTATAAGTCGTAAGGTACACTTTGCACTAACCATTGTATTTCAAGTCTTATATAATTAATAAACTATTTTCAATTTTTTCTATCACTTTTGTAAGAAGTTGTGAAGAGGAGGGACATACAACTCAAAGTCAATCGTTGATGCTATTTTCACTACATCTAAATTTGGATGTTATTCAAAAAAATCAAGTATAGAATCTTAAAATTTTTGCAGTGAGAAAAGTTGCACTACAGTTCGTTTTTTTCACCCTAAAAATCAGTTTTTTTATTTTTATTAATTGACTTAAAACAAAATTAATGATTATGCTCTTAAGAAGAAAATCAAAAAGACTAAAAACGAGAAGAAAACAAAGAAGGTTTAGTATGCTTATATATTCTAAGCAACATAAGCCTCAAATGAAGGGCAATTAGTTTCACTTATTTTTCTCTAAATACAATTTAATCATAATATGCTTATTGTATTCTCTTTTTTTTTTTTTTTTTGACGGCAAGTTGTAAAAAAAAAAAAAAAATAATAATAATAATAATAATAATAATAATTATATATCCCTTATGATTATGTATCTATATAACCAAATGATTTATTTTTGAAAATATTTGTTATACATCGTGTCTTTTACCACCATATGCCTCAAAATATCTTTTACTATGCCCACAAATATGACAAGAATGAGAAAAGAGAAATCAAATAGAACAATATCAATGAAGGTAAAGCTAATGAAGACCATCAAAAACATAAATCAAAGGCGGATATCGATTTAGTTTACAAATTACTATTGTTTTCTTCTATGACAGTATCAATTTGTTATCCTTTGAAATTATAGTTGGTTGATTTATAATTTTTATGATAGTTCTCATAGTTTAACAATTTTTAAATAATATAATTGGTTTCATTTTGTTTGGTTGACATAATTTAAATAATTAATAACAATTCATTTTTAATAGTAATTTCTAAAAACATTAATATTAAATTAATTGTGATAGAATATTTTGTTTATGATTGTATTTTTGTAATTGTAGAATATTAAAACTATAAAATATATATTTTATCTACATAATGTTTAATTATATATTTGTAAACAAATGTAATTTATAAAAGAATATCTAAACAAACAAATCCGTGCAACGCACGGGACACCACCTAGTTTACTAATAATAAAAAATGACTCTTGTAGATAACGTGCCTGGAAACCGCGTTCTGTTATTGCTAATTTACTAAAGGTTATTTTGAAAAAAATGCTACTAGCAAGACAACATAATTAAATTGGCATTTGCTCTATAAATGTTGCTCATGAAACACTTTAGATGATTATCATACCACGACGATAACAAAAATGTGCTTGAAGGTTGCTCTTATGTTATCTCTTCTCGTTATGATTTTCGCTCTTTCCTCTCAAGTTGGGGTCATCGAGGCTACAAGCCGCAAACTAATTAGTAAGTATTTTTTGGAAGCTTGTGGGTCGTGGGTTCGAGCCCCACGGTGGGTGCCAAAAAAAGAAAAAAGCGACTCGGCATAACCTAGCATACTACGTTGTAAAAACCGAACTACGACTGGCTTGATCCCACAGTAAGCATCCTTTTCTAACAAGGTGCAGCTATTATCATAAATAAAATTTTTGTTTTCACCAATACGTCCGAACTAAATCATTGTCCTGACCCGGCATCAGATCTTAAGCATTGTTTTTGAACTTAAAAAGGTCGAGTTCTAGACTCGCATTTCTCAGAAAAAGATGGATTAAATAAGCCGAGCCCGTCTCGCAAACCCATCATACCGAGAATACTACAGGATAAGCCGATCAACTTGTATCACACCTTATTTTCCAAATAATTCGAATTCATCTTCAAAAATCCTGGCAACAAGTCTAGAAAATTCTTTGTGTCAGGATAAGACGAGTACAAACTCGCAAAAATTACAATAGATTGGCATTACAGGGTAAGCCAGTAAAAGAAAATATTGTCCCTAAAAATGTATCAAAGCCGAACACACTTCGCATAAACAAAATAGTCTACATATTAAAAGAAACAGGGAAACTGCTACATAAAAAAGAGATAAAAGAAAACAACAACAACAACATTATTTAAATAAGGATTCTGGAGGGGAGTCTTGGGGAGGCATCTCGAGATCTAGGGCGTTGGAAGGAACGTCGGCATCAGTTTGATTGTTCAGGTCGGGTTCCTCATTTTGTCGGACTGAAGGAACATCCTCGGGCGGATCGGAAATATCTTCCTCAGGTGAGGCCTCCTCAGGAACTTGTTCGACTTCAAAAGCTGAAAGGGCATAAAAAAATTGTCGTCCGGTAGAGCTTCGATCGCTGCCTTGACAGCATCAGACAAAGCCTTATGCCCATCACGGTCGGCTTTTTATTTAGCCATCACTCCATCTGGAACAGTGATGACATTTTCCTCTATTAAAGTCTCGAGGCACTTAACCGTCCAGTTCGATTGAGTATGAAGAAGAAGTGGTTCTAGGACAGCTTCATTACAGATGAAGTAGCTCTTGAGAATGTCAAGACGACCTTGATAATAATTGATTGAATCCCGGTAAGCCTTCGAACGCGCACACCTCACTTGTCCGTCCCTATCCTTCGCCCACTGAGCTTTAGTGGCCACCATGCGTCCCTCAGCTTCACTTATCTCAACCACGGCCTGATCCAATTTCCCCATCAACTCATCTTGCCAAGCAGTGAGCAATTCCACCTTCTTTCGAAGATGCTCAGTTGCACTTTGTTCCTCGAGCAATTTCTTATGGAAATCATTAGCTCGTTTCTTCTCAGCTTCCAGAGCAGCTCGGACGTCCGGATCGTCTACCCTCCCCTGATTATGGATCATTCGCTCATACAAATGTGTGAGCTTGTTAACACTACCAATCGCCTGAAGCAAAAAAAAAATAATAATAATAATAATAAATCAGCTACGAAGGAACTCCTACTAAAAGAAGAGACAACCTAAAACCGAACCCTAATCATCTTGTGAGCTACATCGATATACGCAACACTTTCTTTAAGATTTTCAACCTTGGGAAAAGGAGACTGGCCGTTCCTTATCTCGTGAAATTTTTCGCACATCCCTTAAGATTGTTCGGCAAACGGATGTTCTTCTTAGTATAACGAAGTGAGAAGCGGTTATCTTCCGGGCAGGAACATTTAGAGTTATCCCCGGCAAGCTCAGAACCAGTTGTCCTCTTCCCAAAAGTAGACGTGCTAGGAATTACCGCCAGAGCCGAAGTATTTGCACCCGCAAGAGTCCCTTCAGTAGCAGGAACTACCTTATTAGCAGCTTTTTGGCAGCGGCAATGTCTTCTCTTGGCAAAGGACGAATGGATCCTGAACCAGATCCACTACCGACGAAAGTCGAACCCCTCCTTACCGTCTCCAGACTCAGTGCCGTAGCCCGGTTAAAATTGGCTTGTTCCTCCTCGGCTCTTCTCAGAACCCGAACGGACTTCTTCAATGAGGCAGGGTAATATGGGACATTCCTCCTCGTTCTTCCCATCTTCTTTGATTGTTGTCGGGTTAAATAAGGAATAGTGGCGATGAAAGAAGTTTAAAAAGAAAGGCATATAAAAAAATGTTCCAAAAAGATGCGTTACCTTTTCGTGCTCGTTTCACAGTCTTTCAAATCTTCTTCTCCGCTTCGGTAGGCCACTTGTACGCACCTAATTCCTTGATTCTCCGCACTCGATCAAAGAATCTGTCTAGATACGCGGAAAACCTTGGAATATATGCTGCAAAGAGAAAAGACGAGTTAGAAAATGAAAGTGGAATATACGAAGAATGCTGGAAAGCCGAACTAAAACTACCGGGCGACACGTTCCACACGGAAAAGTGCGCCACTTGAGTATCTTCAACAACGAGCTCGTTCAATTCGACATAAAAATATTTATGCTCCTATTTGTTCGTCTTGCTCTTTGCCCTAGTAACGATTTTATGAGTTTTCGAGTTTACATAACAAAGAGCGGGTTCTCCCTTATCTTATATAAACGGGTAAGCTCCTTGTAGAAGTCGATGTCGATTGGAATGTTGAGCTGAGACGCCAACTTGAGCAAACCTATCGCGTTACGGATCGCCGCGGGAGTGAGCTGAGAAATTGCCATTCTTTATTCGCACAATAAATTGAAATAAACTGAGGGATTAGAAAGAAAAGAACGCACTCCGTAAATTATGATTCATAAAGACAAGTGAACCCGGCAGGAGGAGACCATGGTCGTTCGTGAGGCTTTCGCACTCGAAATACTATCACATTCGGCACTTCGCAATAAAAGCGGATTTCGTCAATTCTCTCCAGGGTTGACGCCGACGGTCTAAAGAAATCCTTAGCCCCTTGAGTCGGGTTGCGAGACCGATTGACCGCAGAAGCCGAGCTCGGATTGGGCATCTCAGCACTCCCTTCTATATCTGCATCGATCAGCTGAGGAATTACAAATTCGGTCAATGGATTGAGCTCGACTCCGTCAGATTGGGATTGCGACTCTCTGATCGACAACTCCGCCTCTAATGAGCTAGAAGAGGAGGTCAAAGAAGACGACGTGTCAGAAGACGAAGAGGAAGAAGTTTAATGATCTCTTAGCAAATCAGGATGAAATCGATATGTGGTCGGGCTCGCCGAGCTACTAGGTGTACGACTCGATGATGACACTCAACCGAACCAGACGAAGCATTATTGGAAGACATTTCCCAGCGCATAAAACTATCTATAATACAAGAAATTACAACCAGAAAAGTAGATCGGAAAAAACGAGAAGAAGAGAAGTTACCTTTGGGCTCAGAAGAAGAAGCGAGGAATGAGCAGCGCGAGATAAATATTTATAGAAGATAAGGGCGTCGGAATTGAGAAGTCATCATTATTCGGGTTGTGCATGTCAAGAAAGAAAAACGTTCCAACTTTCGCGACGCTTTGTTTATCTAAATCACCAACCGAGTTCAACAATCTAAAGCAGCCACGCGTCAGAATTCAAAATCAGGCCGAAAATGCAACATCCTAAGCCCATTACGCTTCAAGACTAATGGAGTTGGGCATGGGAAAAGCCCAATATTATTAAAAGCCCAATTCGAATCAGGATTCATAAGAAATCCCAGCCCATCTCTGACAAATAATGACGAAAGGAGTAAAAAGGGAAACTACTTCACCGATATTCCTCCTATAAAAAGGGAAGGAACAGTGACATGACAGGGGATCCGGATTTTCCGCAAAAAAGTAATACGTACAAAAAGGACAATCGTTGACTTTCGAATCGGCTCGGCAATTTTAGTCTTTTAGTTTAAGTGCGTATTTTATGAGATTATCCTAACATAGTTTTTTGTAACCCTTAAGATTGTAATATCAGCTCGTTCACGTAATTAAAAGACTTCGTCATTTCTAGAGAAAATAATTGTTTGAGGTCGTACATCAACAAATTAGTAAGTATTTTTGGAAGCTGATTACTTCATATTCATCCGGTGTCCAAGCTTTTATTCGATTTGTGCACCTAACCAAATAAAGCACTCATCAGGATATGTAATTTTAATAGCTCTCGGCATTCGGTTGAACCCGAGAAAACCGAAACCGAAATAGAAAAAATTACGGTTTAATTCGGAATTGATTTTGAACCTTATAACCGAAGCGAACCGAATTTTTATTCGGTTCAGTTCGGCAGAATTTTAAAAATCCAAAAAAAAACAAAAAAACCGATTATCCCGACTAAACCGAAAGCCCATGGCTAAATTTTAACATAGCATCGGCTAAAAGAGCTTTTGAACTTGATGTCGCAGCAACGGGAAGACCAATCGTGTCGACCCCAAAGTCAAAATCATGCTGAGCTTCCCCAGCATCCTGGACGAAGAGTCCTCGACCATGCAACGTCCTCCAAAGTATGTTCCTCTTTCTACTCAGTCTCCATAAGATAGTTCACGTTTTTATGTGTCTAATGAGTGAAGTTTTTCGAATTTGGGGTCTATGTTAAAAAAATAAAGTGTGGTTTTCTGATTTGGTTTGAATGTACTGTAAACTGATGAAATATGCAGCTCCATATATATATATATACTAGGATTTTAACCCGGTACACCGCGGGACAATTTTGTTTTTTTTTTTTTTTTTTTGCATATAAATGTTATATTTTAGTATTTTATATATTTATTATTAATACTATATAATTTTTATTTGTAGTGTTTTTATAATAAATTGTTACATGAATAGAAAGATAGTTGTTGTTTGTTGTATGTACAAATAAGTTTTTAATATATAAAATTTGATTATTATAAATTAGTATTTGTAATTATTATATACAATGTATATTTTGATAATATTTTTTAGTTTATATTATAAAAACTTAATACGATGGACGGATTAGAATTAGTATAACACCTCTCATTTAACTTTCCTACTAAAATATTTTGCGCGTTTTAGTAGAGCAATCCTTAAAAAACTATATAAATCATATTTATGTATACTCTAACCCGCTCTATCATATGATTTGCAAACACTTAAATATCTTTTATTAAATTCAAATATTCTATTGTTGAAAATATATAAATGTTTGGTACTAATTTTGTTTTAATTATTTAAAATATGATTTAAACTAATTTAGTAGACAGAAATTTTCTTCGAAGATATAAATAATAATTGTTTGTTAAAAAGCGTAAAAATACAGATAAGTTTTAAAATTTCAAAACTTAAATTAATATTTGAGGTTTATGTCGCATTAGATACAAATTTCATTGATTAGGTAAATTATGTCCGTTTTTTAAAATTCAAATCACAACAAGTGCGAAAAAAATTCTAGATCTTTATTTATCATATGAGCTATATATTGGTTGAAATATTTTAAAAATATGAACAAACAAAGATGAGATCAGAATTATCAAAAAGGAAATCATATGAGAGAGAAAAATCTAATATTTACCTAAATAAAATGTATTAATTAAAATTAAAATTAAATTAAACGCAGACGGATTTTGTATACTTTAATTGAATGATCCAATTGGACTTTTCATCAATACTATATTACCTTTATTAATTTCAAAATTTTTTTTCTAAAAACAGTAATTGAGTGGCAATTTAAGTAATTAAACAAATAATTTTATAAATTTTTTCAAATGTATTCCTCTTTTAATATATAAGATACACTTTTTCAAATGTACTCCTCTTTAAATATATAAGATATATATATATATATATATATATATATATATATATATATATATATATATTGTAAATAGTCAAATACGTAGCAAATTTCACATTACTAATAATAACGTAAAAGATGGCGATTTTAAGCTATTTTTGTTACAACAAAGTTGTAAAAGTCAATCTCGTACAAAAGTGTATTTATGGCATCCAAAGTACAAACATGTTCTAAAGTTTAGATCCAGTGTTACGCACCCCACTCGAAGCACTCGAAGCACTCTCATCTAAACCAATCGTATGGACAAGAACCTCTCTTAAAAGAGTCTGTCTCATCTTACCATACACGTGTCCATCACCACCTCTCATAACAATCTCCTCACCTAACCTAACGGCGGCTTCAACCGTCTCCGCTGCACTATCATAAGCCGAATCAACAATCCCCATCTCTACACCCATCTCCGCCGTCACTTTCGCCGCCGTCAACATAACATCCCTCCTCGCCGCCGGAGAACCAATCTTAACCCTAATCAAAGCCATAAACCACGCCGGAACTTTTAACTCAATATCCAATTCACTCATATACAAAAAACCTCTATCACGACGCATCAACACATAATCATGACTCATCGCTAAAATACATCCCGCGGCGGAGGCGTGACCAGTGACGGCGGCGATTGTTGGCATAGGAAGAGAGATTAGATCAGCGATTAAGGATCTGAGTTTGGCGTCCATTACAACAGAGAGAGAAGGATTTGACTCGGCTAAAGCAAGATCGTAGCCGTTGGAGAAGAATTTACCATCAGATGTTGTGATTAGGACTGATCGTGAAGATGATGGATCTGATCGGATTTTGTTGATGGTGGAGCGGAGAGAGTCGAGTAAGGTTGGGTTTAGACGGTGTTCGCCGTCGCCGGTGAGTTTTAGTATAAAAAGACGGTCACGTTTCTCTAGTGAACACATTTCTCTCTCTCTCTCTCTCTCTTTGTGACTGATCAAATGATTAGGATAGTAGTAAAAGTGATTATGTGTAAAACTGTAATATAAATAAAGATATGTATTGCAGAGTAAACAATTTCTAGAGAGGATGGAAGATAACAAAATTTTGGGAGGAGACCTTCACAAAAATTTGAAGAGGTTTGAAAAAAACAAAAATTTGGAGGAGAGGTTGGAAGGCAAACGCAGAAAGATGGGAGATTTGCAGCCATTCGCGAGTAAACAATTTCTAGAGAGGATGGGAGACTTTAACAAAAATTGGGAGAGGTTCGAAAATAACAGAAAGTTGGAGATGTTGGAAGGCAAACGCAGAAAGATGGGAGATATGCAGCGCCTAGCGTGCCAACGACTCATGTGTGATCAGTACTCTCGTCTTGGCCATTGCAAAAGAGGTGACCGATGTCCATTCCTTCATGGCAAGCCAATGAAGCCCTTGTATCGGAATATTTCAGACAATCCAGAACTAGTTGCGTTCATGATGAAAAACGGTAACATGCCTGCATGTCCACCAGAGGATCCCACCGTGAAGATGCTTTACGTCAAGCGACTGAGCAGGACGACACTCGTTGAGGAGGACCTGCGAGACTGTCTCAGCGCTTATGGAGATATCGAATCTATCAGAATGGTGCAAGAGTATAATGGCGCTGCGTTTATCACATATGGAACCCGAGAGGCAGCAGAGAAATGCATGGAAGATCTCAAAACTTGGGTTGAGATCAAGGGTCACAAGCTGAAAATTTTGTGGGCTTACAAGTACCAGCCTCATCGATACACTACCATTTCCTCCAACCAACAGGGTGCTGTCACTTCAACTCAAGAGGGAGCTTCGTCTTCATCTTCTGCTCTCGAGGTGAAGAGGAGGAAAATCGAGTGAGAGACATTTTGATCTCAAACCCTACCTTTTGTGCTACTGTTTTTATTGTTCGAAAAACATGTTTGAATCTTCATATTTTGATCTCAAACCCTACCTTTTGTGCTACTGTTTTTATTGTTCGAAAAACATGTTTGAATCTTCATATTTTGATCTCAAACTCTACCTTTTGTGCTACTGCTTTTATTGTTCGAAGAACATGTATGAATCACGTTATAATGCATTTCTTGTCCTGCTTAAAAAAAAAAAAATAAAGATATGTATTTTAATTTGTCACGTTTGTTTTTGGACCGGAAAATACAATTTTAGGTTTACCAGCCTTTTACATTTCAAAGATGAGAGAATTTGAATATAATTTGTCTTATTCTGAAATTTGTAAATTTATCATATAAAGCTTACTAGATAAAGCCAATGTTCAAGAAAGCGCTAGGCGCCAAGCGGGCGGTGATCCAGTGCCTAGCGCCTAAAACGCCTAATCGGGGCCTAGGCGATTTTTAGGCGGTTTAGACGTTTATAACGTAAAATATTATAAGTATAATACTATATGTAAAAGTTATATAAAATATCTATATAAAACTAAAAATTATGAAATTATAAGCCAAAACTAAACAAAACACTTATTTATATTTATATTAAACAATATATGAATATTTATAACTATATATATAAATAAAACTCTAATTGAAATTGAAAAAAAATACATTATACAAAATCTATGTAATTTTAGGCGGTCAAGGCGGTTATCTAGGCGTCGCATGAGAGCTTAGCGCCTAGTCGGGGCTTAGGCGACCGCCTAGACCGCTTTTTAGAACACTGGATAAAGCTCAATTTATTTGTAAATTTGTAAATTTGTAAATTTATCCGAGATAAAGCTTCTTGAATAAACCAGTAATGTGGAAAACAAAAAAAAAAGTGTTGAGAAACTTATTATGATAGATTTCCTCTGAATATGAATTTTCTTCTCTTTACTTTACCAGTGTAAACAGAAACATGAACCATGACTATCTCAAGACTTGGTAGTAGGCTCGTCTGTCTCGTCAGCTTCGGCATCTTCAATCTCACTCGCTAACTTCACTAAATCTTCCACCAGTATTTTGCCATCTAATAACAAAGAAAACTTCCGTCAGAAAATTGAAAAATCAAGTAGAGGCAATGGAAGATTTAGAATATAGAGTTTTGACCTTTATCTTTAGAAAGGTTTTGGATAAGCTCTTGGATACCCTCTTTGCCCAATGTGTCCTTCAAGTACATCGCAGCCGATGCAACCTCATCTGGGCTTACCTTTCCATCATAATCTCTGTACAAACAAAATGGATTTGATTGATTGTCAAATCATTACAAGGCGAGAAAGAATATAAAGGATGTTTACACAGACCTGTCCAGGAGTCGCCAGCGGTTGCCAATCTTGTTATCGACATCATCAATTTCCTTTTCGAGTTTCTGGAGCATTGATTCCACCTAACGATAGAAGATAAATAACGGAGTTATAGATTAAAAAGACTAGAGAGTTTGTGACTGAAGAAAACTATATAAAATTGTTGTTACCCTATCTAACAGTGCAGAAGAAGTTTTATCAGCAATAGCTTTCTGAGCACTTCGGTCACTATCTTCTCGAGCAGCTAAATAAGCTTTCCTAGCCTCTTCCTCATCATCTGTGCCACCTTTCTCTACCATGCTGTTGTATAGATCTACCTGCACATAAAGAAGACAAGGTTATTCAGAAAAATCCAAGAAAGCAAGATAGAAACTATAGCGGATTTACCTCTTTTTTAACTAGTTTCAGGAACTCTTCACGCTCCATACTAACAGACTGGAGTCAAAGTCAAAAGAAACGAGAATAATTAACCAGATTGCACACTCTTAAAACTTTTATAGGTAAAATAAATGAGAGTGTGGTTAAGTCTCCTTACAGATGCGGAAGCCAAAACAGCCAATGCACGGCTGAGCTCACAGAGCTGCTCATGTTTCTCAAGAGTTTTCGCTTTCGCTTGCTCATTAGCATCTTTAGCTGTAGATGCCATCATCTCATCCAAAGCTACATCTTTTTGGCTTGAAGCAGACTCTTTCATCTTTGCCATTTCCTCCTCTTCTTCTTCCTCCTCCTCCTACATTCAATGAATCAGAAGTCAGAAAATAGTTTCCTGATACAGTCTCAGTAAAAATTCATGCATACAAGGGAATTTCAAGCTCCACGATACGCGGAAATGAGAAACATAGTTCCACAATCCTCTTCCTTTCTGATACAGAATGGTAGGAAAACAAAGAGACAAACCTTGATTAATTCTTCTTGCATTTCTAGGTATTCTAACTTCCTCTTTCTTTCTGATACAGAATCTTCTGATGAAAGAGCTGTAACCCCAACAGTGTCCACAACCTCATCTGGCAGAGAGGAGAGAGTAGCTTGAACAGCCTCTTCTGGCTTGAGTTTCCCAGCCATTGAAAATGACCTGTCAATACGTTCACAGGAAGAAAAATGTGGCAATGTCATTCTTAATTCTTCGTATATATAGTATATTGATTGAGTTGCAAGAGAAGCTTACCTAGAAAGAATTAAGAGGGATGATGGTACCGAATGGTTAAGAGATAAATCCAGCCAGTCAATTAGCTGTAATGAGAGATATGCAGATCAGAAATCACCTATATCTCTAGTTAAACTTCTAGAAATACATACACCAATATATTTATAAACAAGCAATAACCTGCTCTCTCATTTCTTCAACTGAACCCAATTGAAGCATTCCTCTCTCTCTGCAAGCTTGGCGAAGTTCAGCTTCTGAGAGAGACTCCACACCTTCAGCCTTGATCAACTTATCATCCTTTTTAATCCTACGAAGTCCAAGGAATGGCATTTCCCAATGATTATGTGAGAAGGAAGAAAAAAAGTTAGATGTATGTATAAACTGAAATGCATGTCTTGTAGAGATGCCCGCAGAACTTTAACGATGCCATCAAATAAAGAGAAAACAGTAGTAGGACTTGATGTCAGCCATTCGAGACAAGAAAAATGGCAATGTGAGCAATGTTGAACTTACTCCTGTAATCTTTTCCGAAGCATATAACGCAAATATGCATCAGTTCCAAATGGGCTAATACCCATGTATTTGCACATATTTACCAATCGAGACCTGCAATTAGGAAGCTAAGATAAACAAAACAAGCCAGGACAAGAACAATATCGCGTTACCAATATATACAGTTTTGACTAATGCGTAACCTGTTAATGTTATCCAATGTAAGCTCATCATTGAAGAGCTTTGCAAAGCCCAAAATTTCATCATTTGAAACACCAACTCCTCTTCTGACCTATAAATTTGATAACGACATTATCAGTCCATCTTGAAGATTATAGAAGGACGCCAATTGAGTAAAATAACAAGGAAAGCGAACCTTGTTCATAAATCCATCAAGATCTTCTGCAGTCTTTTTTATCTCCCCACTGCGAGAGGTTTGGACTTCCTTTGCCATTTCTTTAACAGTATCTTGGAGAAACTTAGCATACTCCATTCTTGCATTCAACCTTCTTTTTAGAGCCTCCTGCAAAAGAAACGTGAATTTTAGCTTCATACTTGAGAAACAGACAAGAGTGAGCGAGAGAATGAAATATCAAACCAATTTATACTTCCCAGATCAATGTAACTCAAATTAGTATAAAATCAGTACGATTTGAGTCTTTAGCATTAATAAGTGTCACTTGGATTGATAAAACGAAAGAATATCACTTGGAAGACTGAAAAACTGTGGCTTATTTTCTCTGCTCTTGCTATAGCAAACCATTAAGATTAAGGAGCCTCAATAAATATTTACCGTCTAAATCAGTTTCAAACAAAACTAATTCTAGTATCCAGATGTCAGCCCTGATTTAAACATTTTCATTTCTAACAGCAAAAATAGGTCAAAGGCTTAACATCTACATCAAACGTGGGGCTTCGACTTTCAGAACACTGATGTCAACCCTACATTAATGTTCATAAAAGATCTTCTACTACCACATCAAAAGAGAATATAAAACAAACAAATTGTATATGTTCAGCACTATTTTGCCAGAAGCTGAGAAGAAAGGTAAACTTTGTTATCTCATGATGAATATAAATTCATTACATAGATAGAAATGATTCTTGACTGTCCTAGGTTAGTCTCCAAAGAAGTAACTGGCAACACTATATTGTTGTAATTTGGTCTATGTTCCTTCTGAACCTCGAGTCTAGTAGTACATAAAAAGACGGTAATATCAATGATAGTTCTCATTTCATAAGAATTTAAAGAGGCATTGTATTATTGGACATTATTTTGAGAATGGAAGAGGCAAAATAAAGATGAAAATGTGGAAAGATAGCTCATAATGTCTCTCGTGCTTGGTGTCAAATAGTCATGCAAAAAGTTCCAGTACCCCAGTCAGCAAAAAAGAATAACTAGAAACATCTCACAACTACTTTTTTAAACAAATGAACCTGCAATACCAGTAAGAATAAGGAATAGAGAAGCAATAAAATAGGGTTTAACAGTACCTCTTCTTTCATCTTGTCCTGGAAAGTTGACGGCAACATGTTTGGGAACAGCTTAAGAAATACCGGTAGCAAGAACTCCATGAATGGAACAATAATGAAAACTGCAACCGGGACTAATCTAAAAATGTCGGCAGTTGTTCGAGTGAGTTGTTGTCGTTCCCTCCTAGAGAGACCTTTTCCATTAGCAAGTTTAACAAGCAGCCTTACACTGATCCTGACATCAGCCCAGAGCAACTTTGTCCCCAGCCAGTAGTGTTGCAGAGTAGATTTAAATTCATCTTTCCAGTGGAGAAGCTTCTTAGCCCAATCTTCCCTGCAGAAACAGATCATATGTTACATACAATATATGGCATCAAATCAAAGCTAGAACAGAAAAAAACTGCAGCCTAACCTGCTCATCGATGCAATAGCTCTCAAAGCAGGACCTATTCCCAGAAGAAACGACCGCACACGTTGCATAATGGATATATCAGATTTCTGGGATTCTTCCAATTTCATGGCTTTAGCTTTAGCCTTAGCCAAACTCAATCCCTCAACAGCTTCATCACACTCCTCAGGAGAAGCTTCTTTGGTTTGTAAAGTAACCTTTTCTCCCTTTTTATCATGGTCAGGCTTGTTAGCCGTTGCCAAAGACGAGTACATATATTGTCGAACCAATCTATATCCCAAAGGATAAGGGAATTCTAATCTTCCAACTCCATTACTAAAATTTGGAGACTGAAGTAATCTACTTCTATAGAACCCCTCCAATAACCCGGTCGACTCTTTATTCTTGACATCTTTAAAATCACGTTTTCCAGATACATATCCTGAAGTAATGTTCTCATATCCCCGCTGTCCTTGCCGCTCAATACTTGAAAGACATGGAATTGTAGGCAAATGTTCACTTAGAGATTTGACGACGTCATAACTTCTCCTTCGAAGAAGCGCTCTTGAAGCCATATTGTAGTAAATGTGTAGCTATATACAGTATGTACCAGCTACATACCAGTAAAGCCGAATTCTATACCAATCTGCACAATGATTGTATAAAAGATACGTCAATAGATTGATCCTCTAATCTGAGATTAGCAAGATATATACTCCTAAACAGATGAAAACCGCACGAAAATGTGATAGATCATTCACAAAAGCCAAAAAAAAACCATGACTAATAACATCACTAAGCTCTCAAGCCAGAAAAGTCCTACATATAATTTCTAACCTAAATTGCAAAATTCGCAGTCGATTCACTGAATCTGTGAATCACGATTAAGATTGATTGCGACGAAATTGAGATGATACCAAAAAACCAGAGACTGAAATTCGGATGATGAAAATGGAGACGACTTACATCTACAAAAGAGACAGAGGAAAAGGATCGATCAAAACGTGGAACACAATCCAAAATACTTCGAGAAAAGAGAGCGTCAATCGAATCGTCGTCGTCACTGAGCCCGAGAAGAAGAAGAAGAAGGATTCAACGTGTTTATGCTGATTTTGACCGTTTTGTTTCGGGTCGGGTCAAATCGGGTCAGGTCCGGATATACAAATACTTCGGACCATCTACTGTAGAACTATTACCATTTACTTTGATATTTCTGTTTTTTGAATAAGTTTTACCGTTTACTTTTTCGTTGTCGACTAAAAAAATTATTGTACTCACAGATGAAAAAAGTTTTTGGGTGGACTAACAAAATAAAATTATTTTAAAATATAATAATAATAATAATAATAAAATCGCATCAGATCTTTGATTAGGATCGATCGAATGAACAAGAAACTTAAGAGGTTATGTATTTTATGACTATTTTACCTTTTTAAGTATGGGAGTAGATTTAGATGTGACGAGGCTAGTTTGGTTTTTTTTGTTTCCTTGTAGATTGTTGAGAAACATAGTTTTAGCTCAACAAGGAAGAGAGAGGAAAAAGCCTTCTCTGAATGATTTGTAGAAGAAAGAGTAAAGAAACGGGAAAAATGTCGAAAAATTCGCGAACTTTCAAATTTGGGACGAAAAAAGCATGAACTTTCGAAATGTCATTTAAATCATAAACTTTAGGTTGACTTTTTGACAAAATAGTGAAGTTTAGTTTGACTTAGCCATTTCGGGCATGCCGTTAAATTTCCGTTAACCAGACGATCACGGTGTTAAATTTCCGTTAGAACTCTCCGTTGAGTCTAAACGAAGTCGTTTTGAAACTCTGAAACGACGTCGTTTCATTAGAAAATAAGATGAAAAACTGCATTCAAGGAGAATCGAACAAGTGACCTACTAGACTAATGAGATACACTCAACCATTACGCTACGATAACATTTTGGTATTGCACCAAACCGAACATATATAACCTAACAAATAACTATGTACGATTAATTAAAACTATATACAATTTTTTAACAATAACAAAACTAAAAAACAATTACCAAACATATACAAATATTAAATATACTTAATATAAATATATATTTTGAAATTTTAAATATTTAATTTTATATATAAAGATTTCTTCTTTATTTGGAAAATTATTTTTTCCTGAATTAGAAAAAACAAAAATGAAACTTATAGAATATAGAAAATTAAATATATGACATAAAATTTATACAATTCTTCTCACATAAATATAGGATTAAAGATTGTATAAATTATCGGAATAAAGATTGTATAAATTATAGGATTAAAAAGATTGTATAAATTTTATATTTATGTGAGAAGGATTGTATAAATATTTAAAAATTTCAAAATATATATTTATGGAAGTATATTTAATATTTGTATATGTTTGGTTATTTTTTTTAGTTTTGTTATTGTTAATAAATTGTATATAGTTTTAATTAATTGTACATAGTTATTTGTTAGTATATATATGTTCGGTTTGGTATAATACCAAAATGTTATTGTAGCGCAACGGTTGAGCACCTATCATTAGTCCAGTAGGTCAGATGTTCGATTCTCAACAGATGCAGTTTTTCCATCTTATTTTCTAATGAAACGACGTCGTTTAGACTCAACGGAGAGTTCTAACAGAAATTTAACACCGTGATCGTCTGCTTAACGGAAATTTAACGGCATGCCCGAAATGGCCAAGTCAAACTAAACTTCACTATTTTGTCAAAAAGTCAACCTAAACTTGATGATTTAAATGACATTTCGAAAGTTCATGCTTTTTTCGTCCCAAATTTGAAAGTTCGCGAATTTTTCGACATTTTTCCCGTAAAGAAACTATGAACTTGGAAGAAAAACTCTCAACTTTTCAAAATGAAAACCAAATGCTTAGACATGTATGTGTTTCCATTCTCTCATTAGAAGAACTCATCAATGGTTGCTTTAGTTTGAGATTAAGATCATTGTGTTTTAAATGACTATGACAATGTTTTAATGGTTACGATTACAAATGTATTGAAATGCTTAAGTTTCGGATTTTCTTTCTCAAAGTTTTTAGTCGTCAAGTTTTTTTCCCTTTTCATGGATTAAGATTTCAAAAAAAATGATTTTGTTTCTCATGAAGTAGAGGTGATACCATCACTTTCACGATAGTATAGTCTCAACCTTATTTTTTGTTTTTTTCGCTATCCTAACTAATTTTCGTTTTCTACCTCCACAGATCTACTTAAATCTACACTTTTCTGAGTAAATATGTGTTTAGATCTCCAAATATTATAGTAGATCACGATTAAGCTTATGTATTAACGCTTCATTCCTTTTTGCCAGAAAAGTCAAGGGCGCTATCCCACACGCATAGCTGTGTAAACAACTAGTATTTTTTTAAATCTTTTGAAGCTAAGGGCCATTGGTAACACTCATTTTTTTCGTCTGAGACAAAATCGCTTTTTGTCGAATCCCTAATTTGATGCTCCATTTTTGTTTTTGCGCTAATCAACCCTACAATTTAAGCTTCATGCAATATTCAGATTTCTAGTTAGCATTATAAACAACTTTTGGAACATTGTTTAGCAATAATTAGTGGAACAAACTACTAAAAAGCTCATAAAAAAGATAGAGATATATATGCACCAGATAAATCAAATGTATAAAAATACAACAGCAATCTTAACTTCTAGGTAGACATAAAGGAAAAAGAACTAAATTATTAAAAAGACAAAAGAATAGAAGAAACTTTTTTTTGAAAGTTTCAATGAGAAGGGAAGAATTTGTTGAGGCCGAAAGGTAGACCGTAAAACTCATCATTTCGCACGTCAAGATTATATAGTCGAAACTTATCCCACCATTTGAGTCCGCAATCTTTCTTGGCTTCATCGCTTTCACGACACAATGTGCAATCAAGCACTATCGCAATTATTGCCGCAACCGTTGTATGCGACATGAGTATCACTCTTATCACATCTTCCAACTGGTTTGTGCATTCACATGAAAGGAATTCTCAATTCGATAAGTTGCAAAAAAATGTTTGCGATTTAACAATGTGTCTAAAAGTATATAAGAAGATGTATTTACCCAATTTGAGCGATGATCAGACCGCCAACCTCCATTGTAGTATTCTCTGAAATATTGCGGGATTGAAATAGCCATGAAAAAAGAAAATCCCAAAATGAATTTGGTGTTGAAGCTATTGAGGTTGCAGAATTGTAAAAAGCTAAGTCCCGCCGAAGCTGCAATATATTGAATTTGGTTTTATTTTTAGTAAAAAAGTATTAAACATATATTTATAGAAAATGTAATCTTACACTTATGGAAATTACAAGTGTGATGTGATGAAGAGACTTACACACAAAACACAAGACGATGCAATAGAGAGATGCCATGATTGGTAATGGTATGGACGCGAAAAAAGCTCCAAATTTTCCTGCATTTTGATCAAAATAAATAAGTAAGATATTCAACAAAATCATTTATACATTATAAATAGGAAGAAAAAAATACCAAAAATGGAGAAAAAAAGCATGGATGCAGCTGATATTTGTATCACTCTTCGACTCCCAATCTTAGTCATTGCCAAAAGTCCAACATTTTCTCTGAATATTAAGTTACACTCATATCAAAACTATATCATTAGCCTTTATATACTAGAATTCATATAAGAGAAACTAAAGATAAATGCTCGGAAAAATTAAAAATTTGTAATTTAGAGATGAGTTTCGTTACGTTGATGCTGTGATCCCTGTGATGCCTCCAAGCATGCCATTGAGTAATACTCCAACTCCCTACAAGATATTTATTTAAATGTTCATATAGATGATGAAATAAATTGTCAATAAACGGTCAAAAATATGTTTTATGTGACGATTAAATTGTTGTTAGACTAACCAGCCAGCCAGTACCACGACTAACAATTGATGGTGGAATTGGCGTCGCGCTTCCATATCTTGCGGATGCATAGAACAAACCAGTCGACTACAATAGTACATAAAACTTATCACTCTTTATATTGAATCATAGAAAGCTAAATATTATTTTCCATGATTTTTAATATCAATTTCATGTACAAGAATAAAGTTTAACCTCAAAGAGAGTGACGAAAGACGCAGCCATCATCGCAAAAGAATCAGTGATGTCGAAAGTTGGGCTTCCCCATTGAAAAGGATATGGTATGTATATCCTATTATTCACATAAAAATAAATATAAAATTTGAATATCAAAATAGTGAAATCTCTACACGGAAAAAAATGAACATCTCAAATAGAAGAACTGACCAAGGAGTGTTGGTGATGAGACCAGTACGATCTGTACGACAACTGATTTGAGTAGTCTGAGGTTTGTGATCATAAACACCACTCGATGTGAGTAGCTGAGCGAACAACCATACCACTGGAATGCATAACATCATCCCATAACGGTCACATCTGTTTCCATCCCAAATCATCGCGCCTTTCTTCATTTTCAGAAAACGCGGTAAGTACTGCACCCAACAAAAAATGCCAAAGCCAAGCACAAAACAAAAATACTCATAACAAAAATATTTGATGTAAATTATAAATTAAAAAGTGACATGTAATTCGCGTTGGCTAATTTTTTTTTTTTTTTTGATGATCTATATATTTTATTTTCTATAATCATGTGTATGGATTTGAAACAAAAGAAAGCTAAGAAACGACGGTTAGATCTTTACCTGAGTGATAAACACGAGTAGGATCAACCCGGGAAGTCCCACTTCAATGCATCTTGCTAACTAAAAAATAAAAGATTTTTACATCATATTATAAATCTATATAATTATATATTCAATGGTAAATAAAACATTATCATTGTTAATGGCCAATATTAATTAGTGTATATACACATACCAAAGGGAAACCAATGTGGTAGAGTCCCAATCCGGTAAATGTTGCCAAAGGAGCAATGGAGAGTGGGCTTAGAAATCTAATGAGCATAAAGAAAAAATACATTCATGTTTAATGTTAGATACATAATAAGGTATGTCTCCTTTGGAAAAAATAATATGAAGTAATTTACCTAACAATATTTCTCCATACGCCTAAAAAACAGACAAGAACTTGGAAACATCCGGTTATAATCAGAGCTCCTTGTATGCTTCTCATTGTTCTCACGAACCTCTGATTAATTATGTTATCAAACAATTTACTATTAGTACAATATAGTTTGTAAAATTAATGATAATACTGATGTTAAGACTTACTTCAAAAGGATCAGTGTAGTAAGTGAATCGGGTCGAATAGATGATAGAAGTGATAGGTAAGATATAGGCATAAGAAGCAGCAGCTATCACAGGCAATCGAGTTCCAAAGAAAGACTGGAACAATGTTGTTAATCCAGACACAAATAGTAATGTTTGTATTACTTTAACTTTTTCTGCCTGAAAATGTTGAAACAATATATAGAAAAGAAAATCAAAACTGATGTATAGAAAATTAAAATGTTTAAGAAAAATTAGTGTCATTTATCTAATCTCTTGATATTTTATTTAAATTTATTGTTATTAGCTTATATCATAATGAGAAAAATTCAATCTAAGAAATAATGTGTTATATTATTACTAGTATATGTAATTATGAGATGTTAAATAAAATAGCAAATTTGTTTGTCTAGACGAAAAAGTATGATAACCCAAATTTTAAAAATTAGTTTATTAACTACTAACTCCAAAACAAAACTGAAATAATATTTAAAAATAATAAAAAAATCATGATTTTAAAATCAAAATCTAGAAGATCATATTTTGGTGTGGTGAGATATGTTGATAATTATGTAAGATATGTTTATAATTTACAAAATTTGTTAACAATCTAAAAGTTATTTGAAAAACATATATCCATATACTTACATCACCACCTCCCATGAGTGGAACTAATAGACTTGGAATGAGAACTGTGATGCCAAGACTCAACAAATAATGCTGGAAACCCAACACTACCGCTTCAACTGCAAACACCAAAATATACATTAACACACACACACACACACACACACACACACAAAGATTAGATATAACTTAAATAAATTATAAAACAACTAAAATTGTATTGAAGAAAAAACATACACCAAGGAGGAGGACTGTTGACGCAGTATTGAATTTCGGGGAGTTGTTCTTTCACCGGATGGGGTTGTAACTCCTCCGTTCGGTTTCCTACTCCGGTGTTTCCACCACCACCGTTGTTACCGCCACCATTTGTCATGGACGTAAATATTATATTTTTTTCCTTTATTGAAAATAAACCACTCAATCAATAATAGGATCAATGAACTTTATATTCGTTTGTGAAAATATTGTTACTTACATATTAATACACCGTTCTTATAAGAAGGTTAAGGTGATCGACACACAACTACATAAAATCTATAAAAATATATATCTATAGAAGAAAATTAATTGATAACCTATCATAAGAATATGTTTATCCCAAGCTTTGCCAATATTTGTAATATTGGTTATCACAAACAAAAAAATAGAATATGTTTAACGAAAAAAATGATATATATCTTACTTTTAGAAAACGATAGAGGAAGCTGGTTGTGAGAGATAGGGAAAGAGTGAAGAAGAAGAAGAAGAAGAAGAAGAAGAAGAAGAAGTCAAAAAGACTTGGGGGTTATAAGTTGTAACCTTTTGCTAATTTTTATTATTTGAATGATTAAATGACATTTCTACAATTAATGTAGTAATAAAAATCTTAGTAATGTCAGTTTTTGATATATGAAATTTGAAATAAAAAAATTTGACCGTAGAATCTTTTTTCTCTGATTTTTAGCATTGGAGTAAATTATGGCGTTGGAAGCCACAATGGTCATATTCTTTGCGTGATTAGCACTCAACTCGACTAATCATTAGCAAAGTCCAATTATTAGTCGTAACTTCTTCTATTCTTCTACTGTAATTTCTGTTTTCATTTCTCTTGAATCGTGTTTGAAAGTTCGTTCCTCTGTGATGAGACTCTATTTTTTTTTTAATGTAATGTTAAATTATATTCAAAAGAAAAATGAACGTTTGAGTTCTAGAGTTGGCTTCTCGAAGCGAACCAAAGTTGAAGTCCTTTTTCGTATCTCCTATCCCCGCTTGATCTGATGGCTGAAAATTGGTTTCGTACTTGTTTGTCAATCATCTTTTGATGAGACTCTAAGCCTAGGTTAATTTCGAAGAACGAGCACGTTTTTGACTTTGACTAACTCATAACTAATAATCTGTCAAATTGACTTGAAATGATTATGACAAATATATATTAATAACCGTATAGTCCATTACATTTATAGAAACACCATTTTCACAAGGCACAACGTGGCGGCGGGAACAACAGCTATTCAAGACGTTAATGGAGATTCTGGTTTCTCTTTCCATTCTTGCTCTCCTCTTTTCCGGAGTAGTAGCTGATTCAAACAACATCGTTTTCGAAGAGGTTAGAGTTGGATTGGTGGTGGACTTGGGTTCTATACAAGGAAAAATTCTCCAAACTTCTATTTCCTTAGCGCTGTCAGATTTCTATCTTGTAAACAACAGTTATCGAACCAGAGTCTCTGTTTTGGCTAGAGACTCCCGAGGAGACCCTTTGCTTGCTCTCGCTGCCGGTGCGTTTCATTTTCTTTATTGCTTGTTTTTAAAAGAATTTTGGTGTGGTTCTTATATAAAAGAATATTTACCAAAATTATAGGGGGATTAGCAAAAATACCCCTTTTCTCATGCCCCTTTTCAAAAATGCCCCTTTTAGATGTCCATTTTCAAAAATCCCCTTTTTAAATCTGAAATTTTTATAAAGTTTTATTAGGTTTATAAGGTACTTATGGATTGTAACTACTACTTGAATACTCGATCCAAGTATTTATAAGGTTTTATAAGGTGTTTTTAAAGGTTTTACAAGTTATTTTAAATGATTTTTAAGGTTTTTCAAAGGTTTTACAAGATATTTTAAAGGTTTTTAAAGGTATTTAAAATGCATTTATAAGGTATTTATAAAGTATTTATAAGATTTTAGATACATAGAAATGTAGTTTGTGTATGTTTTAATAATATTACATACATATTTGGGTAAATCTTATATTTTTAAGAGCATTTTTTATAAGGTTTTAAAAAAGGGGTATTTTTGAAAAGTGGCATTGAAAAAGTGGCATTATTAACAATTTCCCAAAATTATATTATATAAGAAATTATTTTTAAATTACAATTTATGGATCTGTCTTGATGTTTGAGCGGATATCCAAGTCTAGATATCCGGAAGGCCCAGAGCAGGATCCTGATAATTAAAAGTCGGATCCAGCTCGGGATCTAAAAACCCTAAAGAAAATCTTGGATATCCAGATTCGTGGTCGTCTAGTTAACAGAAATTTAACGGCATGTCCGAAATAGCCAAGTCAACGAAACTTCATTTTTTTTTTATCGAAAAGTCGAACTAAACTTTATGATTTAAATGACATTTCGAAAGTGATTTTTTCGTCCCAAATTTGAAAGTTCACACTTTTTTCGACATTTTTCCCGATAATTTATATCCAAATTTGAACCAATCCTAATTCGGCAATCGGTTAAATGTTCTGTAAACAGAAAAAAGAAAACACATTTCTAACTACAAATAGTTGTGCGGCCCAAACCGATGGTTTAATTGTTCAAAGTTGGAAACCCGTGAAACTTAACAGAGTCATTCCTAACTTTACTGAATGACACAGCTAGTGATCTTCTCCAAACGGGAAAAGTGAAAGCCATTGTTGGTGCAGAATCATTACAGGAAGCAAAGCTATTAGCCGCGATTAGCGAGAAAGCTAAAGTTCCTGTGATATCTACTTTGGTGCCAAACACTTTGTCTTTGAACAAATACAATCATTTTATTCAATGGACGTACGATATTACATCAGAGTCTAAGGGGATTACGAGTCTCATACAAGAATTGAATTTGAAGTCGGTTGTGGTTATATATGAGGATGTTGATGATTGGAGAGAAGGTTTGCAAATATTGGTGGATCATTTCCAAGATGGTGGAGTCCAAATCGACCGTACTACTTCTTTCTCAGAATTTTCATCAGAAGAAGATTACATGGTCTATCAGCTACGGAAGCTCAAGTCCGCTAGAGCAGCCGTTTTCGTTGTACATATGTCGGAGATTCTTGTTTCTCGTCTCTTCCAATGTGCGGAGAAATTAGGAATGATGGAAGAAGGATATGTTTGGATACTCACCGCAAGAACCATGAATTATTTTCATTACTCAGATGGTTTTGCAGTTAGGTCAATGCAAAGGGTCATTGGTTTCAGATCATACATTCCAGTATCAGAACAAGTAATGAATTTTACTTCAAGATTGCGAAAAGTAATGGTTGATGATGACACAGCGCAGATAGAAACAGAGCATTTTAGTGTTGTGATCAGTGTATGGGCACATGATATTGCTTGTATTCTAGCAACTGCCGTAGAGAATATATGGCTAAGAGCCTCTAATGAATCAAATCTTCTTGAGACGATTAAACAAAGTGGATTTAAGGGTTTGAGTCATGGTGACATGCAAATCGTTGGCAACAAATATCTCTTAGGAACTTTTGAGATTGTGAATATGGTAGGAACAGGGGTTAGCAGAATAGGATTATGGAGTTGTTATAATTTCTGTGGAAGAAGACACGTCATGGTTTCTTCTATCAATGAACTTGAAACCATTAGCTGGCCTGGCGGGTCTGGTAGAATCCCGAGACATCGGTTATTGGAAGAGAACGGTGAAAGGAAGTTGCTCAGAGTCTTGGTTACCTCAAGAAATAACTTCCCACATCTGGTGGCGGTGCGTCCTGATCCTGAAACAGGTCTTAATATTGTCAGTGGATTCTGCATAGAGGTTTTCAAGGCTTCCATTGCTCCTTTTGACTACGAGCTGGAATTTATACCTTATAATAGATCTTCTAACTATGATGATCTTGCTAATGAATTATTTACTCAGGTGCATATTCATATCTTGGAAGTGTGGTCTTAATGACCTTACCATTCAAATGATGTTTCTAACTAAGGTTTGTTTTTGTTTGCATTATAGAGAGACAAATATGATGCAGCTGTTGGTGACATCACCATCACTTACAACAGATCTTTGTATGTTGATTTTACCTTGCCTTACACTGAGATGGGTGTTGGAGTCCTGACGGTAAAGAAAAAGAAAGAGAGCATGTGGACGTTCTTTGAACCTCTTGACAAATCCTTGTGGCTAGCAACTGGAGCTTTCTTTATCTTGACTGGCTTTGTTGTTTGGTTGGTTGAACGAGCGGTTAATCCTGAATTCCAGGGCTCCTGGGGGCAGCAGCTTGGTATGATGCTTTGGTTTGGGTTTTCCACCATTGTGTTTGCTCATAGTAAGTGTATTACTATTAGCCTTTAAATTATCCCCTTAGCTTACTCTTCTGTTGAAGTATGAGGTATTATTCTTTGGCAGGGGAGAAACTGCAAAAAATGTCATCAAAATTCGTAGTCATAGTTTGGGTGTTTGTTGTGTTGATATTGACTTCAAGTTACAGTGCAAATTTGACATCGACCAAAACCATTTCTCGCATACAATTTAGTGAGGTGCTTAGAAACCCTTCACAATATAGAATGCTTTCAACCAATAGTACTCCCAATACCTTTGACGACTATGTTCAAGCTTTGCGGGATGGAACTATCTCTCATTTTGTTAGTGAAATACCGTATCTCAATGTCTTTCTTGGACATTATCCGGGTGTCTTCGAGATGCTAGGTAGAGACACTACTAGCAATGGCTTTGGGTTTGTATGGGCCTCTCCTCAAAATCCTATTTTTTTCTCCCTATTGGTTCCTTACTAACTGGTTCTTTTTTTATTTCAGATGTTCCAGAAAGGCTCGGGTTTGGCTCCTAACGTGTCAAGAGAAATCGCGAAGCTAAGGTCATCACGAATGTTGAAAGATATGGAGAAAAGATGGTTTCAAAAGATGGATTCCTTTGTAAATCCATACACTGATTGGTCTGAAATCGACGATGCATTTAACCGCCTCACCATCCATGAATTGGGCGGTTTGTTCGTCATTGTTGGAGTTTCTCATGCTCTTGTACTAGCCTTGCATCTCTATCAGACACGGCGAGAGATATCACGTGCCTTGTGGGAATCTCGACTCTTCACCAAATTGCAAAACTTCTCAGGCTTCTATAAGTAAAATGATCATTATCCATAAGCTTCAGTGTAGCTTTGGCAGTGGATCTCCCTAATTTACAGTTATAAACTTAAAAGAATGTTGAATGTAATATTTCCTGCTATGAATTGAGTTTGTTAAATAACCTAATAACTTTTTAAAGAATTACAGGTTTGTGAATGCGGCTTTATTCATACAATGTCTGTTCTGAAACCACTTGTAATATACTTTCAGAAACAATTACTCTTTAGCAACCCGAACAACCTGTTTACCAATATTTTTCCCGGAAAACAACCCAACAAGTGCAGCGGGAGCGAGCTCGAGGCCTTCAGACATGTCTTCGATGTATACAATCTTGCCTTCCTTGTAATATCTCATGATATTTTCAAGAAACTGTGGGAAGATATTGAGGTAATCACTCTGCAAGAACCCTTCTAGTCTTACGCGTTTGGGGATAGCGTTGTATAGGTTGTTGATTCCTTGTGATGAGGTTGAGAGGCTTTGCAAAGACACCATTCCACAGAGCGCGATTCTTCCATGGACCTTCATGTTGAGGAGCGCTGCATCAAGCATGGATCCTCCCACATTGTCGAAGTAAATATCGATCCCCTCAGGGAAGTACCTGTTTTAGTAAAGATATTGATAACAGTTCAGCTTCATATTTTTGTACAGAGTCACATTATACCTATCTCATTTCATAGAGCTAGCCACAAGAAATCAGTTTAAGTGTGACAATCAGAGTATCTTACTAGTACCTCTATGGAAGTTTTATGTTGTGATTGTGGCTGTTTTTGTTTCTAACTAGAATGACACAGTGTTGATAAGATGTCTAACTATCGTTGCAATGATAGTGAAATTCAAGTTCCTTATGGAACTTCTAAATCCCTAGACACAAGCATTACTCTCCATAAGGGAACTTTCAATGAATCAAACAGGTTTCCGGTTCCACAAAACATTGACGGTATGCAAGAGAACGAGCTAGTAAAGCTATTAAGGTAAGTGATTCTTTAGGTTGAATCTTGCAATATATTTACCTCTTCAAGGCAGCATCAAGATCAGCCTCTTCCTTGTAGTTAAAGGCTTCATCAAACCCAAGCTCGTTTTTAAGGAGATCAACCTAAAATATGTCCACAAAAAGTTACTTCCCAACGACAAGTCAGTAACAAGAGTTGCTAAAATTAGTTTCGAGACTAACCTTTTGCTTACTACCGGCGCTCCCAACAACATAGCAGCCGTGTAACTTAGCAAGCTGACCAACAAGTTGTCCAACTGCTCCAGATGCTGCAGATACAAAAACACTGTCCCCTTTCTTAGGACAACATATCTCATAAAACCCTGCATATGCTGTAAATCCAGCCATCCCTGTAAAACAAAGTAAATTCAGAATCTTTAGATCAAACAAATGATTGATTCCTTCCTCTTATGCTCAACAAAAGACGGGTCATACCAAGAAGTCCGAGATGATAAGAAAGCGGAATGTCGTCGTCTAACTGAATCTTTCTCAACTGCAGGTTATCTGAACTACGAAGCAAACTGTATTCTTCCCAACCTATAATCCCGCCGATTATGTCGCCGGGCTTATAATTATCGTCATCAGAATCTATCACTCTTGCTAAACCAAACCCTTCGATACGCTGCATCAAGATTACCAAAATATCAGTATATAGCAAGAAAATTCAAGCCTATGAACAAATTCACCAACAAAACAAAACAAATCTCAAGATTCCTCAGCGTATGATATATACATTCGTCAAAACATCGAACACTTGGTGTGGATGATCTCTCTACCACACGTATACAGCATTTACACATCTCTCTCTCTCTCTCTCTCTCTCTTCAATTATGAACAATTCACCAATAAACAAGACAAATTTGAAGACTTTCGCAGCATTTCTATATACATTCACAAGTTCCGTCAAAACGTCGAACACTTGGTGTGCAAAATCTCTCTATCACACAAACACTCTACTTACCTATCTCTCTTCAAAATTTGAGCTCCAATGAGCAAAAAAACGATACCCAAAACACCAATCACAGACCCAATTGACAAAAAAACACAAAAGCTGAAAACTTGAAAATGTGGGTATAATATATACTTGGCCAGGAACAAAAGGTGGGAGATAGGAACCGTGAAAGTCACGCATACGACCTCTCATGTAAGGATCACAAGACAAGTATAGATTTTTGACGAGGAAACAAGAAGACCCTTTTGGTGCTCTAAGCTCAATTGTTTCTCCGAGTTTCACTTCCATGTCTGTTTCTTTAGGAATGCCATCTACATAATTCTTTAGTATCACTTTCTTGTTCTCGACTACTGCAACTTCTTCCATTTGTGCTAAATCTGTGATGGAGAAGAAGAATATGAGAGTAGCAATTTTGTTGCAAAGAGATGGTTTTGGTTGTGTAGGATAGAGTTTGGTAAGACGAGTGTTTCTCGTTTGTGTGACGCGTTGGTTTAATTAGTTTTAGTTTTCGTTGAAGTCATTTAATGTCCAATTTACCAATAATAATAAGAGATAATTAGGTGTAAAGTAGAACTTTTTATCTAAATTAAATTTTTTACAAATCATTTCAAGTCCAAACAACATAAATATTTCGCCCATGATTCTTCCAAAAATAACCTCACTCTCTTATCTCTTCAATTTCATCTCTCTCTCTCAACTCCATAAATCTCATTTCTCTCTCTTTCTTCTTCCATTTTTTAACGTTGATAGCTTTTTTGTGGTTGATTCTTCTTCTTCATTTGTTTTTTTCGTCAAAAGCATATTTATATGAGATCCGGTGATAATCTTCGATGGATCAACAATGGCAATGTGCTTACGGTGGTGTTGTGGCGAAACTTTGTTGACAATCGGCGGGGATTCAACGACAGATCTGAAGTGGTGGTTCAACGACGGATCTAAAGTGGTGGTTTAACAGCGGTAACCCGCTTATTATGGTGGACTTTATATATCGGTATTTGGTTAAATTATTGTAACATAGATATGTATTCTATATATTAGATGTCTATATCACTAATTTGGTTGTATTATATGTTTGTATAGTGTATACAATTGTGTTTGTATGTGTAAAAATGTTAATAACGCTCTATATATATTTACATGTAAACATATGTTAATAACGTTCTAAATATAACGAATATGTTGGGTTAATAACTCTTTATATATATATTTTACGTGTATATATATGTTAATAGAGTTCTATATATGTATTTACATCAATACAAATGTTAATAACACCCTATGTATCATGTAATATATGTATGTAATAATATGTTTACATCTATAAAAATGTTAATAACGCTATATTTACGTGTTTATATGTAAATAATTGTTAATAACGCTTTATGTATATGTATTTACATGTACACATAAACCCAATGATTAATATTATAATTATCGATGTGTTTTCTATTTTACCTCTAGTAATTTTATATGGCAGCATTAAATGTTTATGCCTAAGAAGTCAATCACATTTAATATACTCTTCTTTAAGTCCACAAATCAACCCACGCACATCCTATTGGTTTTTTTGTAATATAATCAAACTTTATGTGCCATTGTTGAATGTTTATTTGGTCCTTCCTCAACACATAAACTGATTGTCTCTCGCCTAATTATTTGTCCCATTTTTCACTCTCAGCTAAACGTCTCTAATAATAATAATAATAATAATAATATATATATATTTATTTATTTATTTTAGATAATTAATATGGATATAAATGTATGTCACGATCTTTGGTTTCTCGGCTGTGGTTTCGTCTTTGGCTTAGGCGTGCTTGCCTTTGTTTGGGTAATTTCCTCTCTGCTCAAGTTTCACCTAGGTTTTTAGCTTTTTGCTATATCTTGGCTCGTTTTTAGTTGTTAGGGTGATTTAATCGTTGGTGTTGCTATGGATTTGGAGGTAACCTAATCTACAGCCTTGTCTTGCAATCCGGATTTAGGTGTTTTGTGGCTTCCTTTTCTTTGACGTGGTTGATTGCTCGGTCTTTTTTTTTTTTTTTTTTTTTTTTTTTTTTTGATTGCTCGGTTGAATTTGTTTTGTGGACTTCTGTTTTAATATTTGTTGGTGTTTCGTCCCAGTTTGTCCTTCCATGGTGTCTTTAGGCTCCGAGCTGAGTTTTTGATCGGTTTTCTCATCTTACAAAATGCGGATGGTTCGGTTCACCCACCTGATTAGGTTGTCGTCTTCGTTTCACCCTTAGCAAGATTCTCTTAGATGTGTGATCTTGGACTGAAGGAGTTGAGCAAGTGCGTTCATCTTTCTTCGTCAAATTCTTTATCAGGTTTCTCTATCCAATTATCTAGTTGTTCTCATGTTGGGCTTAGTTGGGACTAATAGGTATGTGGTTCCCTTTACATCTGTAGTCGGTAATTTTATGGTTTATGTCTCTCTCGTTTGGGTTTAGTTTCCGAGAATATCTCATTTGTATTTTACAAATGTATCCCAACCCTTGTATTTCACAATCGTGTTATATATTGAAAAGATTTAGATGAAAAAAATTTAAAGCATTTAATTCAATATACATTTTATTTTTTCGAGTATCTAAGTTTAGTCTTTCTTTCATTAAATTATACAAATATGAATTGTTCTTTTGGTAGCTATCATATATATTGTCCAGCCCTATGTGAAGGATTTTTTTTTCTTTTCAAAAATTATTTAAATGTTAAGAATCATCAAATATTCTATAATAAATATATCACCGAAATATTGACTACAATAAAACTTCAATAAATTAACTATATTAGGATCCGCATATATGTGGGTTTTCAGTTTAAAATTTTTACAACCCAATGGTAAACAAAATTAGATGACCCATGAAAACAAAATCAGAAATGATCGCTTTTTTATTTTTCTATTCTTTTGTTTCTAATTATATTTTTCACGTATTTCCAAATATTTAGCTTTTTCTTATCCCTATTTGAATTTTTTTATTAAAATTTGAATGAGCTTTACCTTTTTAAAAAAGTGTTTTATCTTAACTTTGACCAATTGATGACTTATTTATCTTTGCATCCGCTACAATCTGTTCAAATAGGAAGAAGATGAAGGAAATAAAAGAGTGTGGAGAAGGCAACTTTGGAGGCTTGTCGACACCAGAGCTAACGTCGGTTCTGAAAGTTGTGTGTTGCTTCTTGGACAAGTAATTGCAGAATCTGTCGAAAACCCAGAAATCTTAAGACGTAGTCCGAAATGGCTTCTTTAGGACAGCGTTTGGAGGTCCAAATCTTATCCGATTGACCTGACTTTTAGTGGAGAGGTTTATGGTACGTCAAGCTTGTGAATCAACAGTTCGATGAAAAATTTAACGGTTCGTTGCAGAGTTATATGTGAAAGATGAAATAACGATAAGGATGAAGTGACGATAAATCATTGACAAAGTGAACATTAATAATGATGCTACATCATGACAAATGTAAACGTTGAAATAATAAATTGAAGGGTAGGATATCAATCGGCGAATATATAATAAGATCCCACCCTTCAATTTGTTACTTCAATCAATTGATTTTGAATTCGAAACTCATGAAACTTAATATGGTATCAGAACACGAACACATAATGCCTCATCCGACCCAGAAAAATGGCATGATCACCCACACTAATTGGTATCTCAAAAGATAACTAGATGAACATTATCTGTAGTGGATGTGATGGATTCTGTCGAGATTAATGATTAGAAGAGTAATTATCGCGAGAACCGTGTAGAGAAAGATCTCACATTGGAAATCGGTAAAGTGATTTAAGTGGTATATAAAGGATTTGGGCCAAACCACTCATTGTCAACTAGTTTTGAGTTGGAAGTACATGAAACTAAATACGCTCCAAAAAGATAAAAAAAATCTAGAATGCCTTCAAAAGATTATTAAAGAATTCAACAATGTATTTATAAATACTATGATTTTTGTCAAATAAAAAAAATACTATGATTTAGTACTAACTAGGTAAATACGTGCGGATGTATGTGTGTTTACAAACTTTAAAGATATTATATATATATATATATATATATATATATATATATATATATTATTTTATATTAAATATTATCGATTATATTATTTATATAATGTGAAACAAAGAATTTAAGTTTTTTTAGTTAAATTTTTTATATGTATTGTTTTGTTTTGCTTTATGTTTATAGCTTTGAAATGATAGAAATTTAAAAACTCTTTTATTTCTTCCACTTTAAAAGTACAAGATATGAGTATTATCAAGGTGATGAACTTGTATAGCTTACTTTGGTTATATGGCAAATTTTCTAGTTCATTCCATCACTTTTTCTACTTAACAATCAAGCTCTGACCAATATATATATATATTTTTTTTAATAAAGAACCACAAAAAATATAATTTAACATAAGCATGTAATGTGAAGAACTATCGTTGGTGCTCTAACAAAGAAAATGTAATGGTATCTTTAACATTCTATCTCAAACTTGTAACCTCTTAAATCTTTAAAGAATTTAATGAATAATTTAATAAATTTAGTAAAATAATTTAATGAAAAGATAATAATTTAGTAAATTAATGATGATGACACATGGCAGTTTACAGAGTGATGAAGTGTCCCTCATATAGATAGAGTTGGCCAACTTTCATATATATGATTTTTAGTTTTTTGCATGTCTGCATTTCAATTAATTAGAAATGCTCATCTATAACTATCTTTTCTCTAGCTCTCTTTCAAAGACTATATATTCAAAACTTCCTAAATTCTCTTGCAAATGTTTTTCAATTTCTCAATACGTAAAACATATATATATATATATATATATATATATATATTTATATCTTACTTTCTTAGCTTATGTGTTTTGACATTATACATGATATTTGATTATTGTTTTCTTGGCCATGCAAATCTTCGTGAAGGGTGTGGAAGGCAAAACCGTGAATATCAAAGTCACAGACGACAAGACCAAAATCAAGATCTTGAAATCTCTTGTTGAAGCCAATGAGGAAATCTCAATTGAAGAACAAAGATTTATTTTGGAGGCAAGATGTTGATCGACAATGATGCAACTTTTGGAGACTATTTCGACAATGAAGGCTCGAGCCAGCAGTTTGTTGTGAGACTCGTTGGTGGCATCTAATGTTTAGGGTATATACTAATCATTAAGACTTTGAATTATCTATCTCCATCTATCTATCTTTATGAATTTATGGTCCCTTTCGTTTATCCTTCATTATTTTATTTAAAAATGTGTTTCAAATTCTTGCCTAATTTTATTTTATTTTTTGTTTTGTTCCGATCTCATGCACCTGTCAAAATTTTATTTGGTTAATGAAAATGTAGAAGGAAAAAAAATAAAAAAAAAATGAAGGAAAACTATCCACATGAAGTCGAAGAACATATCTAACTAATGAAAATGCAGAGGGGAGAAAACAAAAA